CAGAAAACTAATGAATCGTGTACTTATTTGCGATTCTCTATAGAAACGTAATGACACTGAACCATTTTTGAAAAGATTGATCACTGGTGACGACGCCAGACCACACACATCTTTAGCCACTCGGCAAAAATTGTGAGAGCTTGGTCAGGAAGTATTAAAGCAACCACCATATAGTCCTGATCTTGCCTGACCCTTAGATTTTTACCTTTTTTATTTTATTTTATAGTATAGGGTGACAAACGAGCACACAGTCCACCTGATGGTAAGTGGTTGCTGTGGCCCATAGACATCTACATTTATCCTCATTTGCGAATCAAAATGCAGATGCGTTGCCACCCATGAGGACTAAGATCTCCGGTTCTCTACACTCACCATACGAAACACAGTAGTGTTAAGCTGCTATTAGACGCTGGTATTCTGTGAGAGCGTGGTCCTTCCCCGGTCGAGCCGACCCATTCGTGCTACAACTATACTACTAATATAGCTGCAGCATGGCTCTACCACGTACTTACTTACCTATTTCGGTCCCTTCAGAATTCTTTGGGTAGTGTTAGGTTAATAACATCAAGAGAAGTCTTTCAATACTACTTGTCGCATTTTGTTGATCAAAAATCCCAAAATTTCTATAGCAACGGGATTATGTTACTACCTACAAGATAGCAACAAGTTATCGAACAAAATGTCGCATAAATATTGTAATTAAATATAACTCAGCTTTGACAAAAATGTCCTGAATATTTGTATATAAAATACGAAGTAACTTTTACCCCGACCTTATATTAAAGCGTTTACATATTTAATCAGCCTGATTCCCAATAGGCACTAAAGCGTCTTTGAAATATTCGTTCTCATAAAAATCGTGGTCAAATAAAGAAATATTTAAAGTTGCCTTCTCTTTTCACTAAATAACAATAAAAAAGACAAATAATAATTAATACTTAATTTAAATAAGCGATATAACGATTATAAACCGGGATTTACATTACGAAATTAATACCATGCTATTAGTTTTATGACATTAATTTCATCAACATATTCACGTGTAAACGCGACACGAAACGAGGATCCCGAAAGCGCTTGCGCTGAGTGGACAAGGGAGTTTCTGTATGGCGTGAGTTTTCACATATTAAGAATGCAAAGTAAAGTTTGCACAGTTGTAAAAAATACAGTTCAATAGTGAATATCAGCAGAATGAGTGGCGCTCTAAGAAAATCTACGAACCCATATCATCCCAAGGGTGTCTATGAGGAACATGAAAAAAGGACTACTACGGCTTACTACGGCAAATGCCCTATAAGGCATTCTAGGGGGGAAGTTTATGTTCTACAGTGGAATTTTGATAGACTGTCATCATTTATCATTACAACCCTTCATAAATCCATTGCTGAACATAGGCCTCCCCAAGGAATGCCATAAAGCACGGTTCTGAGCCACCTGCATCCATCGACGTCCTGCATGTCTTACCAGGTCGTCACTCCATCTAGCGGGGGGTCGCCCTACACTTCGCCTAACGGTACGAGGCTGCCACTGATAGACTGTAATGAATGGTAAATGGTAAATGGTAAAGCGTTGCAGCTACATTATGGTTGTAGTACGAATGGGTCGACTTGACCGGGTTAAGCCAACGCTCTCACAGAATATCAGCGTAAAATAGCAGCTTAATGCTGCTGTGTTTCATATGGTCATTATAGAGAACCGAAGACCCTTTTTAGTGGAAACGAGGCATTCCATCTTATTCCTCAGACTGTGTGCTTGTTTGTCAAACTTATTCTATGAAAAAATAAATGAATGTCTCTGGGATTCTAAACACTTCACATACAAAAATGGACAGCAGCATACACATAATTATTTATAATACATATTAGAACCATGAAGGCAAAAACCTGAATACTATGGGTGGCAAGTGTGCCTCTCATACTAACAAAGATTTTTTAAATCATAAATATATTTTTTATTTTATATTTTAATATCTGGATATCTGTATGACAATATTGTGCAGTTTAAAATAACGTATTTATGTTTACGGGGACATCCCCGTTAAAACTTTATTTTCATCATCATACTCATCATGAAATCTCTGCAATAATTGTGGATTTCACGACATACGAAACAAGTTACATCTTATGAAATTATAGAAAAATATCTATAAAAAATTGGAGGTTATGATTTCTTATATTTACGCGAATACTACACATTTTTAAATAAAAAATTATAAACAATAGAGAAGATGGATGGGTAATAATTAATAAAATCAAATCCAAACCCAAGTACACCACTGCTAGACTTCAAGATACTGTAAGCTGATTCTGCGTAAATCGAACTAAAAATTAAAAAAAATTAATATTAAAAAACTGAAGGTAGCCGAGCTAACTATGACAGCAGGACGTCAAACACCTCAGTCCCCCGTGACCACGGGTGCTGGAAAGCACCCGAAATGTCGGGAATATAAAAATAAGTTAATATACGCGATAAAATCCGTAAAATTAGTTTTATTTAAAAAAAATTGGAGGTTCTTTTTTTTTTTGTTCAAAAGTATATTAGATTAATACGTTAATTGTTAATTTTATTATAATAAAAATAACACATAGATAATAACTTATTTTTTAAATTGTTATATTATTATGTATAATATTAAATTATATTTAATACGTGGTAGAGCCATGCTGCAGCTATATTAGTAGTATAGTTGTAGCACGAATGGGTCGGCTCGACCGGGGAAGGACCACGCTCTCACAGAATACCAGTGTAAAAAAGCAGCTTAACACTGCTGTGTTTCGTATGGTGAGTGTAGAGAACCGGAGACCCTTTTTTACTGAAAAAGAGGTATTCCATTTTAGTCCTCACAGGTGACACCGCATCTTCATTTTGATTCGTAAACGAGGATAGATGTAGATGTTTATGGGCCATAGCAACTGCTTACCATCAGGTGGGCTGTGTGCTCGATTGTCAACCTATCCTAAAAAAAATATTACTTATTTTTATCTCACAGTATCTAAAATGAATGCAAATTATCATCGTTACCTTTTGAGAACAGATTTAGTTCTGAACATTGTATTTTCTGTACGTACCTGTATCACCTCAGTTACTAACAGATACATACATTTCCTGTCCTTTCACAACTTGTTTTAAACGTTCCCTGAGATATATTTTATTTCTAAAACGACAGATTTTACTGCTTGCTCTACATTTTATATGTTCAAATGCTTAAAATCTCCTTTTGCTACAAAGTATACTTCAAGTGAATAATAATGACTTGCCCAGTTTCAACAACGGTGATTTATTGGTTTGAACAACTGAAAAGGTTAAAAAACTGCTACCCAGTTGCTATTTCAATTATATATTAAAATTCATATACATTATATATAGCCACATACGTAAACTTGAAGAAAAGACAGTAAAGAATTAATTAACCCATTAAATAAATCTTATGTATCATTCCTTTTGCCGATGCCGTGGAAGGAAAAGGGGGGATCTCCCGTCATGCAAGGTTTCCAGCCCGGAAAGCGGCTAACGCTCGGTGTAATATTACAGAGTTATACCGCAGTACTTCGGAACCTTAATAGCGTGATTTAAAGTTCGGTGCATTCGGCTTGTGGCGCGACGATAGCGCCACCACATCCCCACCCCCCAATCTTTCCCCGCTCAGACCGAAGGTCGATAATGCAGTCCAGTTTTCCGACGAATGTGCAAGTGCCAGGAATTACCTTGTAGTCTGCGGTGAGTGGATAAGAAGGCAAATAATCTGCGAGTGCCGTGAAGCAAAGTGCGAGTAGTAAGGTTCAGAGCCGTGCTGAACACTGTAGTCCAGTAGCTTGAAGAAACAGGAAGTATTATTCCAGTGCTACAATGAACCCTGTAAAGCTAGATGGCTTGCAGGATCTGAAGACTGCAGACGATATTTACTCGGGAGTGAATGGAAGAGTGAATTGAGGACGATAACAAAATCTTAAAAAGTTAAAAAACTTTCCGGCTGAATGTTGAGCGTTGCAGGTGTTCACATTATTTCGGTTCGTCACCTATTTATCCGTGAAAGGAAAATGAGGGATCACAGGGTTTTCCGCCCAAGAAGCGGCCAGTGTTCCATGAGGTATTACAGAGTTATTCTATACAATATACTGCAGTACTTCAGAACTTTGATAGCGTGGTTTAGGCTTCGGTGTGTTTCGCTTGTGGCGCGACGATAACGTAGGTACTACAGTATGTTCCAGTTTTTACTTCATCATCTCTTTAAATACGTATTATTGGCGGCTTGTGTCAGTTCTAATGTAGGCAAGACAAGCGCATAATACCTCGCAGTGGCTTTTTCATATTCGGGTATCATAAATATTATTATCAGTTGTATGATTCTCTTTTTGAAATCTCTACGTTTAAGTCTCAACTTCATCAATATTTTACCAACTTCCCATAGCTTTAATAAACTTCACTAAGTTAAGAACATATCCTTTTTCTAGCACTTCTTTTCTTCTTTTGTTGAATTATAACATTCAACTAACAATAAGGAATAAAAATACATTTATATTAAGAATCAACTGCTTACGCTGTTCGTTTAATAATTACTATATGTTATAAAAAATAATCGTTCAAATCCAAAAGGAAATACCAATTAATTTGTAGGTAAGTAATTTATAAATAAGTTACACTACGCTCAGGTTTTATTTTACAAACGCCTCATTTCTTATATTGTAAGATATAAATGTCTTTGTCTATTTATGTAAGTCCATTATGCAACTAAATATCAAAAGAAACAAATTCAATCATTTTCTTATTAAACAAGTAACTTACTTGTTAGTGAAAAAATTCTGTCCCATTTGAGTATTTTCCGAGGTTTATGCGGCGCGGGGCGGTCTAGCCAGCGTCACTCGCCCGCCGACCTGCTCAAAACGCGCACGTCGGAACTTTCTCACTGAGTATCAAACGCGCGTAAGCTTGAACGCCACAGCCTGTTGATTGTGAACATAAAACAATAATAGTATGTGTTAAGTGTCTCGTCTGCTATCAATATGAAGGGCAGACACCAATTTCGACGCAGATTCAGTTTACAACCGTCCTTTTTGAAAGAAGAACGCGAGGAAGAAAGGAGACCTAACAGGTAATAAATATAAAAATATTAAATTTGTATTTTATATCAATTATAAACATACTATGTAGTTCTTTGATCATGAACACATCAGTAACAAGTTTATTGATTCAGATTATTTTTGCAGTCTTTTCAACCGCATTTTGTGTTCATTGTTAGAATATACAACTTTGAGCTGATCTTGTTATTTATGAGACGGGAAAGCAATTTTCTACAATTTAACATCGATTTAAGCGCGTTTCTTACAGCGAGTAATTTACTACATATATATCTTCTATGGGCAACATTTTTGGTTGTATATTTGTATAATAATTTTAACCATATTTACTATGTATTACATAGGTATAGGTATCAGTTTTTATTTTAATTTTGTACATTTTAAATTTAAATAGATCAGTTTTGATCAATTAATATACCTATTGTGCAACAAATCTAAGAAATACCTAGAACTGGGCTTAAATTGTGGATTATAATTTCTTTTTAGTTTTGTTTGAAAAAAATTAATTTAAGTTGTTACGAATTGCATAATTCAAAACAATAAATAATTTCCTAGTTCCTTGAATTCATTAAAATGTTGTTTGAATGGGTGCCCTTGTACGAATTATTTATTGCGTTCTAAAAAATATAAAAAAGGTATTTCTTAGATTTGTTGCTCTCTAATTATATTCAGTAATTATTTTATTTTTAACATTACATTGGTGTCATACTATATTTTTATTCTATAGGTACTATTTTGAACATCCTTTTAATATATGTATAGGTAATCGATGTTGCGTCTGTTAGTGATAGTGTAACTTCGGAATAATTTGACCGATTGAGTTCATGTTCGCAAAATATATTTGTTTTGTAGTCAAGTAATTAACAAACTATGTTTATAAACCAATAGGAATCATTTTGATCTCTCTCTCTCTCTCTCTCTCTCTCTCTCTCTCTATCTCTCTCTAATCGTGTCGGATTACCTTCCCATCGAAATATGAGAGTGAGGGAATAAAGAGTACACTAGTGTTTGCGCATACACTCGGGCACTATATTTCTGTCCTGCCAGGATGGCTAGTCTTCGCTGAGACTGGCCGCTGCGAACGAAATTCGGTCTGGAGGACATGTACATGACATGTAGAACGATACACGAGAAAAAGAAAAATTAAAAGTGAATAACTAAAAGGTATATATTATACGTTGGGAAAACATGACCCGAAAAAAGGTTTACTACAAACGAGCAAATTTATTATAGCTAGCTAGCGGCAAGCGGCTAATTAATATAGTAGCATATTAATTATAGTTAAATTCAAAATAAAGTCAATAAAAAAAACATATACTACATATCTTGGACGGAAGATAAGGAGAAGGAGGGGAGAACCTACGTAACTGCTGAATTTTTTTCACACATGCTATTTACAGTAAAACAGTTGACAGAATACGCAATATTTTATATGCAGTTGACGACATTTTTCAAGATTTCTGTTCGTAAACGAATTCCATATTTGATGAAATATTTTGCCTGTCTAATGCTAAATAAACAAGCGTACAAATACACATGATACTTAATGGTATTATGGCTGAGTGCATTGCAATGTTTGGAATTTTTCCTGAAAAGGTTTCCTTACGATGTCCGTTAGAAAAAAAATGAAGAAATAAAAAAAATGAAAAGTGAAAAAATTGTTTTCCTTCTTCGCCGATCTAGCGGTAAACAATCACTTAAAACTGCAATTAACAATTTCGATAGTGTGCGGCCGGGGCTCGGACCTAGATAGCAAATTTACGGCGAGCTCTTAGCCTCTGATTCACTACGGATCTCAATCATTGTCAAAGTAAATAATAGGTCGGGGAATAAGTTTCTTCGTACTTTGTATGAAATTGAAGAAAATCTCTTAGGTTGTACTGTTTGTATCTGGCCCGTTTTAATGAACATACAGGACACTAAGAAAAAGAAAAATAAAAAGTAAGAAACATTTTCCCGCTATTTTCAATTGTTTTCCTGTCCGCCAAAATGATGAAATCTTACGAAGAAATTCGATACATTCTGAAGTTTTATTACAAAAGGGGGAAAAATGCGACTCAATCACGAAAAAAAATTGTGACGTTTATGGACCTAATGCAGTGTCAGTAAGATTGGCACAAAGTTGGTTCAGTCCGGCAATTTTGATGTCAAAGATGCAGCTTGCTCTAGTCGCTCTCAAACTCAAAAGTCAATGACATTTTTGAAAAAGTTGACAAGAGCGGCATATTAGTAGTTAAGACATAGCCGAAGAATTGACGATTGACCACAAAATAGTTTTGACCTATTTGAAAAAGTCTAGCTATATAAGAAAGTTCGATATATGGGTACCACACGAGCTCACTGAAAGAAATCTAATGAATCGTGTACTCATTTGAGATTCTCTATTGAAATGTAATGAATTCGAACCATTTTTGGAAAGATTAATCACTGGTGATGAAAAGTGGATTATCTACGACAAGAACGTGTGAAAAAAAGATCATGGTCAATGGGTAGTCAAGCTCCAGACTGTAGCGAACCCCGGATTAACACACAATAAGGTGATGCTGTGTGTATGGTGGGATTGGATGGGCATCGTTTATTATGAGCTTTTACCGCTGGGCAAAACCATCGATTCTGATCTCTGCCAACAACTAATGACTAATGAGACTCAAGCAAGAAATTGAGAAAAAGAGGCCGGAATCGATCAACAGAAAAGGAGTTGTCTTTTATCATGATAACGCCAGACCACACATATTTTTAGCCACTGAGCAAAAATTGCGAGAGCTTGTTTGGGAATTGTCAATGCATCCACCATATAGTCCTGACCTTTCACCCTCAGATTTTCATCTGTTTCGGTCTCTTCAGAATTCTTTGGGTAGTGTTAGGTTCACATCAAGAGAGGACTGTCAAAACTACATGTCGTATTTTTATGATCAAAAATCCTAAGATTTCTGCAGCAACGGGCTTATGTCACTATAAGATGGCGACAAGTTATGGAACAAAATGGCACATAATTATATATTATAACTAAATGTAATTAAACTTTGAAAAGATAATGTCTTGAATTTGTAAATAAAATACGAAGAAACTTTTACCCTACCTTATGTGTATGTAAACTAAACATCAATTAGTACTTCATACGATTGTATTGAGATTTTCTCTCGATGGTGGAGTGTGGGAGGATTTACATTTACCTCCAGGCATGGCAAGTGATCACAGCACCAGACGCCTAGCACCATAAAAACTGCGGCGACAATATTATCATATTTAAGTATAAGTAATAATATTTAAGTGTTAAATAATTGTAACGTTGCACTGCTGAACAAACAAACAAAAGTTTTGAAATTTCTTTCTGTAATATTTTTAAATATGGCAACAGCCATAACTGCAACAGATAAATATATTGAATAAATAAATCTGTATATATAAATAAAATTAAAGTGTCTGTCTGTAATATAGAAATGACTGGCAAGCTTAGGGGGTTATCTGCATGCTATTAAGATATAAATAGCCAATAATAATTTTTGTCTGTCTGTCTGTCTGACCGTTTTAGTCTTCAAAAGATAAAGAGCAATGACAGAAAAGATCTAGGTTATTTTTTTTCGGAAAATTTTTTTTTCGAATGTTGATAAACTTATAAAATAAAAGGTGTTTAATGATTATCGCCACATTAATATATTTATATCAACCAGGCGAAGGCGGGACGGGTATACAATAAATATTATCTCAAAAATTTCTTCTTCGTCTGTAAAAGTCAAACATTTGTGATAGTCCTAAACCTTGTAGGGAGGATTTGCCTTCCACGTTACGCTTGATCGGTCATTTATCCTCAATTGGGAATCTAAATGTAGATGCATTGTCACTCCTGAGGACTAAGATGGGATGCCTCGTTTCCAGTAAAAAGGGTCCACAGTTATCTCTTAGCATACGTAACACAGCAGCATTTAGCTGCTATGTAACGCTGGTGTTCTGTAAGTGCGTGGTCCTTCCCCGATCGAGCTGACCGATTCGTGCTACAGCCGTAACATCCTGCAGCGTGGCTCTACCACATATAGACAAGACGTGATATATCGCTCGCTATAATGGTTATATCGCCGTCAACCGGAATCCATAAGACTTTTCTGGCATATCCTATAGTCATACACTATTACCGTTACCGTTACAGCCTATTATAATCCACTGCTGAAGATAGGCCTCCTCTTAGATTGTCTCATAGAGGGATATTTGCCACAGTTGCCCCGGGAAGGAAACTGCAGTTTATTTTTTATTTTTAGTCGTTATTAAGAGTACCTGCTGATAATCTCCTGATTTCTTTCTCTCTGTCGCCTCTTACGACATCCACGGGATGATATACGATAATGAATATTCTTACAAGCCCACCGCACGGTGATAAGTACGGTATACGTACACACGACAACAAATTTTCAAAAAAAAAAAAGAAACAAAAGAATAAATTAATAGTATTATTTTTTTAATTAATAATATAACGTGGTAGAGCCATGCTGCAGCTATATTACTGGTATAGTTGTAGCACGAATGGGTCGGCTCGACCGGGGAAGGACCACGCTCTCACAGAATACCAGCGTACAATAGCAGCTTAACCCTGCTGTGTTTCGTATGGTGAGTGTAAAGAACCGGAGACCCTTTTTACTGCAAAACGAGGCAGTCCTCACGGGTGACAACGCATCTGCATTTTGACTCGTAATCGAGGATAGATGTAGATGTCTATGGGCCACAGCAACCACTTACCATCAGGTAGACTGCGTCCTCTTTTGTCACCCTAATTCTATAAAAAAAAAGATTCAAGCGTTACTTTGCGGAAATCCATTATATTAAAGTTGATAAAAATTTCCTCGCGTACATCCGCTCGATAAAATAAAATTATGTGTCTTATCTAGTTTGAAGAACACCTCCCGCCCTCCCTCAATTGCGTGCACTATCCCCGTCACCACTAATACCAGAACCACTACACCCAACACCACTAATCTAGGAAAGACACCATCGACTACAATGCGATACGTGTTTCGCCTTTTTT